CACAACGAGGTTGCTCTATTACCCACGGTTGTTCGGCGATAACTTTAGGTACAATTAAGTCCAACATCAATTTGGGTCACGCGCAAAAGTTTAACTTGCCGTTTGCTACCTAATACACAGCACTCCATTATTTATCACATGAGTTAAAGAATCACCCCTGAACTACATATAATATGTTAATATTCTGTGAACTAAAACCACATTTTAAAGTTGAATGAAAATAGGTCATATAAAGTTCTCTAAATAAACTACATTGTGAACTGCGGGTTGTAAAAAACGTAGTAAAAACTATAAATAACCTAAATCAACCAGACAAGATTTTGTTCCTTCACTTGTTAAATTATTTATAACCTATTTTTAAAATGTATGTGGTTAACCATACAGTTCAATAAAAATGATTTACCTTTTGTTGAACATTGTTTTTATTAAGTGCAAATCAAGAAGTCACGAAAAATAATTAGGGGCTCTAGGCAAATATAGGGAGTAAGTTATAAAAAGCAATATATAGAAGCAGGGAGCCAGCTTAAATAAAATGTGTAGATTGATACCTCATGGTACCAAAAAAATCACCGATTACTCGGGTTGTAAAACCCCAAGTTTATTGTTATTTAACCCAAGTTTATCTCGGGGGAAGCCAGTGAGTCAAATTCTTCGCGATTCTTGGAGATAATAACATAGCGAAGATTTGCTTCCTGTTGCACAGTGTGATTTTGAGACTGGTTTTTCGTTGTGGTTTCTTTTCGGGGATATTCTATTTTTTCATTGGGGCTATTTGCGATTACTGCTTTTCTATATTTAAGCTTTTGCTTGTTGGAGCGGCTGCAACCGGTTCAATTTGCTTTGAATAAAGCGTCAATCTACAGAAACTCTACGATTGATATGCGTTATTGTTTGGATTGTGACGCCTGACTTTATAAATACGAATAATCAGCATAAGAAAAGGGAAAACAATTCCGAAAAAAAGACAAAGATAAGTCAGCATTTTTGAGTGAACAAATAGACCGACATTTCGGCGTTTTGTTTAGAGACTTAGCTGATTTGTATGTGAAACATTAGCCTTGACTTTCAACCAAAAGGCTTATCAGAATTTGAACGTGCTGATCGAACGATTCTTGAACAAACCAGACGACAACTCCCAAAGAAACCTGTAAAATTCCCTTGTTTGTGCATTGTTTGGCGTACCAATATCTTTGATCGCACCTTATATTGATCATAAACGAAGGCTGCACCCTCTTGGAACAAAGGCGGCAATCTTATCAGCAAATAATTTGTCACCCGAAGCAAAAACCCCCATTGTTGGCCTTTCATTTTGTAAAAACCAACGCAAACACTAAAAAATAAGAGCCGCAAGAACTCAAGTATTTGTGGGCATATAATTAAACGGTGTATAAATCATGTTGATAGTCATTTGGTGGCTTCTCAGATGCTTTTTTAATGACACCCAGCAGTATGTATATAGATAGATGAATTATGAAACCAAGCGAACAATCAATCACACGCTTAAGTGCAGCGTCATTAAGAAATAAAACAACCTTTATAGAGATTGATAGTACTCGTTCGCTCACTTTAACTGAATTTGAAGGGCTCCATTTCCTACTTGTCTTGAAAACTTGAAAATAAATTACTAAATGTTTTGCACGTCTGACAAACAATTTTTAAGTGTTGTATGCTATGATGAAGTGTGAACCGCAAAGCCACAAAATTACTATTATAAAAAAACCCTGATGCATCCGAACGAATCAGAAACAATCCCAAATAGCCACTAACAATTTATTTAAGTGTGATATTGATTTATCATTGTTTTTTTTCGTAATTTCACTAGACCATTATATATTTCAAATATCATAAAATGTCACGTTGATAATTGAATGAAGCGTTAACATTTTGCACGTAGACCTCGTAACTAAAATCTTTTCGAATTTAATAACGTTTGTGTTACCTGCATTTGCCCTTCGTTTGAGCAAATAACATGTGTTAGAACAACTCGACAAGAACAATAAACCGTGAAGAAACGCTACCCATCCATTTAATTTATCGCTAAATATAAATAAACTTAAATGAAAAGGCCACTTAAGACTCGGACACTTGACTTATGGGGCTCTAGACATTCGTATGCGGGTTATACAAGCAAGATATCGTCGTGGACAACTTGAGCTGGGGGTATTAATAAGTCAATTCTTTGGGGACTTTTCCAGTAATTCCCCTGATAAGACAAAGCGTGAGGTGAATGATGGAAAATTATGCTAATTTTATGGCAAATAAGTCAAGGTTCGTTGGCTTTAAAGCACATGACACCGCTTTTGGACTTTGTTTAGAGTTTATTGTGAATCATATTGACTAAACCATATCTATACATTCTAGACCAAGGATTGATTATCTTCTAAACTGCACACAAAGTAGAAATACTGAGCCTTATCTTTTTGCGGTTCAATATTTATTTTGAAGTGACCAAGAAATTCCTCAAGAAATCACGCGTCTTGCCGCAAAGAAAACTCTTTGTTTGGCCATCAGTCGAATAACTACCATATATCATCGACCATAACCGAACTCAGTGCTCCAGATAATGACGCGAACACATGCAATATCTGAATAGATATATGGAGCTTCTTGCTTCTCAGTCACGTACCGTACATACAAATTGTTTTGGTTGTTTCCTCCCGATTCGTTCCGTTTTGCTGTTTATCAATTTGCAATTCCCAATTTTGGTGGCTTTAATTAATACTAAAGATAGTGCCCGACCGGCCCGGCGGTTACTTACTTATGTTCAACCTTCGGTTATAATTTTTGTGCGCTTGCACAATTCCATAAATTTGTGAAAAACAAAACAAAAAAAAATTGAAAACACCGCACAGCTGCGAGCGCGATTGAAAGGCAACAAATTGAAATAGATTACAAACGATATCGTTGAATTTATGAGTTTGTGAGCCGCATTAGCTGGATAATTTATGGCCCTGATTATGGGCCAACTAAAAGCGGGCTAACGTGGCTCCATCGTCTTGACCTTCAGCACTCGAAGTTCTTTGAACGTAGACGATAATTTCCCATCAAACGATGAACCCGCTGATCTTCAGACACAAATTAGTGACTCACAAAGCGAAGAAGCGCCGGCAGATCATCGGGGCATCAGAGCATGTCTGATGTCTCAATATTCGGCTTGAAGGGGGGCTTCTGTTAGAGCCAAAGTGCCAAAAAGCAGTTAACATTCATTTCTGCGCCAATAAACGTGCACAATAACAAACGCCAGTGCCATATAGTGCGATCATGTCTGAGCGCCAGCTCGTGTGCTGATCATTAATCAGGTGTTTTGTTTTGTTTATTGTGCTCGGAATGGACAATTGTGGGAGCTTTCTCCGAGATATCCATAGTTTCAGATCAGAATGAGTAGCAAGTAACAGTTTTCTACTTTTGATATGTTCCTTACAAGAATCAGTTCACATAATAAAACTCTAATCCAAGAATTAATTTACATTCGCTTTGTACTGCATCTCTAAATATTCTGAAAATATACATATCATATGTACCTTTTGCGACCCAAAATAAATCTAAAGTTTTAAAAAGGCTTAAAAAGTATGTATTTCTGTATAATCCCATTTAAATTTATCCAATAATAACTTCCAAAGCGGAAAATTTGTCTATTAACTAGTGTAATTATATTATACTGTGTACACCATGGCGTATGATTATTCCACCCAGTTAGAACGAGTGACGCAGCAGGCAGCTCGTGACTGGTTTGAACAATGGACAATTGTTTGCCGGCATGCGCATGTCAATGACCGTTTCGTCACCCTCACCCCTTTAGATCGGCCAGATATATACATGTGTCTATATAGCCCCAAAGAAAACTATGGAGAGCGCAACGTGGTTAAATTTCAGCTGCGCAGCGGTTTGTGTGTTTGTTATCTGCGGAGCTTATCTGCAAAATATTTGCCAAACATAAATAAATGGCGTCCAATACAAAGTTAGGAATACGGTGGCAATTGTGTCACCCGATTTGCAGAAATAACTAAATATGAGTAACGCAAAATGCCAGATTTACAACTAGAAAATTACAGTTCATGAAAGTTTGAGCTTTGATTTTATGATCACTCTAAAATGTAACACTGTAATTACAAAACAATAAAAAGGTATTATTCCTGCTCGTTAAATTTTTGAATTCAACTATTATAACAAACAGAGAAACTTTATAAGCTTGATATCAAATGATATATTTCATTATGTAATAAATTCTTAATGAAGCTTTTAACAAATGTAAATACATAACTACATATGTATGTAAAATGATACTTGAGCTGTTTGTTGGCGCAAAAGAAGTTAAAGAAACATTTAAATAAAACAGCGTAACAAAGTGTATTAACAACTTGTTGTTGACCTTAAGCTCGGCCGGTTTGGTCGAGTTGGCCAAAGCCCATAATGCAAATATGCGGTAGTTATTGTACGGGGGTAATAATGCAATAATGCAGCAATATTGCGCATACAATTCAGCTACCATTAATAAATAAAGTCACATGTTAATTATCGGGCTAGCGGCACGTCGTCCACGCCACCGCTAATTTCAATATTTGCAGCAGCTGTTGGTGCTGGGATAAAAAAAAACATGAAACAAAAACAAACTCAGCGGCGACCTGCTTTGTTCAAACAGGTTCGAGCCTGACTAAATATATACAATACATTAAAAGACGTTTACGTAGACGCGGATCACGTGAAAAAATTATCCACTAACAAACTGAAAAATTAGCAATGTCTGGATTTTTGAGACAAAGACGAACAAAAATGTGAGCTGTACACTTAAAATGCGCGCCAATCAGTTTAGTCAGAGTAGCATTGCCCTTCTGTTTCAAAATATTTAATTTGGATTCATTTTGTGATTCAAATTTGTGTCATACCTTTAAGTACAAGCTAAATTGAAAAGGTATTGCAGGATTTAAATTTTCCCGCCACCTTTCGGCCAGTGTGGCAACCTCCCCCATTTTTACGATATCCTGCAACACCGTTAGTCAACATTGTGCAACACTGTCACTTTCTCTGTCGTAGTAAACAGAAGGAAAATCAAAGCGAATCTGATTGAAAAATCGCAATTTGCAATAAAATAGGGTACTCGCGTGTGCAAATATTAGCGCAAGTCGAAAACCGAGTGAGAAGTGGGCGGTGAAAAATCGGTGGGAGGTCTACGTCGTCATTGCCTCCCCCTCTCACTTCCCCTTCTCTTAACACCTCGCTCGCTCTGTTTTGAAAGGCCTGAAAGCATGTGTGTGTGTGTGCCTGTGTATGAGAGTGTAACGGAGTAACTGTAACAGTTGCAGTTTACCGTTGCAAAGGAGCGGGTGAGTGGCCCGAATAATTAATTAATGCGGAAATTCGTTTTTTTTTCGTATAAATCAAATCAGTCGCTCTCATGAAATAGTTTTACATATTGGTTGTTGTGTGTTGGTGTGCGTTACGTGTTGGCCATGACATCACTAATAATATAAATTCATCAATCTCTACAAATCCGTTACAGTTTCAAGAGATCGTACCTGACATGGATGACACGGAATTCATGTTCAACGAGAAGCAATCGATCCGGGACTCCTCGCGCACCTTGAAGCGCTATGGGAGCACCTGCTGCAACAGCCTGCGGAACAACGAGACTCTCATCCGGCACATCGTCGAGAAGACGGACACGCTGCAGGGCATCGCCCTCAAGTACGGATGCACGGTGAGTTTCGGAGTTCACCATCCCAAAGATTAATCATTCCATGCCATACTCCTAGTTCCCTTTAAGAGGTAGTTCTTCTGTCCGTCAGTTTATAAGATAAATATTTTATTTCCTTTTAACGGAATATTAATAAAAATCCGAACATATCTTATAGATACTTTTGAATTTCTAATTTAACCCCAACTTTACAATCGCTATTGATTTGTTAGCCGCTCAAAGGGAAGCTCTAATAGTGCACAACTTTTATTAGAAACCGTCAACTCTCTGAGGTTTACTCAACATTGTTGAATTGTCTTTGATTTCTTCAACACATTAGAGAAGGTTTAAAAACGAGCTTTCTGAGTTTCGATGCCTTTTTCTTTGCTGCAAAAAATCTTTAACATTGCAAGACTTTGATTTTATAATTTTAAGGTTTAACCTTTACCTAACAACTCTATAAAAATTCATGGCATGTTCTTTGTTTAATTGGGTATGCAAAAGGATTAGCTTTACGAGTTTAAAAAGCATTGCTGACATGCGAACCCTTTTACATTTTAAATGTCACCACCGTTTAATCTGAATTTGTTGACCTTAAAATGGAGTCCTTGAACTGTGTTAGCCACATTTTTCCGAGAATTGCCCATTAAAACCATTTTTTTTTTGCATTTTCTATCTGCTACTGTAATTTAAAAGGATGTTCAAACTGTAGCATTGTTATGTGTAATAGTGCCCCCGATGAATAGTCTTTAAAGACTTACTCGTATTCCCCAACCAATTACAGTCACGCTAGCGTTATTAATTAATGTTGTGCAAGGTTTACAAAATTTTCCACTAAGAAATATGAATCTTGACGAAATCATTTCTTCACATGCATTGATTTCCTGCACCATTGGGGAAGCTCCACTAGTGCTGGAATCACGCGAGCCCTTTGAATTTTAAATGTCAACTCCCAGGGATTTGAATATATCGATTCAATAATGGCACAGTTGCCCCGGGCGACTTCCATCTGCTCCCCATTTTTCCCATTTCTGTCGGTTCTTGGAATTTACGACCGAACCCACACCTACTCACAAATGCGGGGGATGTGATAAGTCGTCTAGTGACTTGGACAAACAGAAGATAGCGACATGTGAGAAGGGACTGTCCGTCTAGAGAATAGTATCTGGTATCTAGTACCTAGCATATAGTCAGTCGTCTGGCTGTTTATCGGTCTCGTTATCGCGGTGGACCCGAGGAACCTTTGGAAAATGCTGCAGCCCCATATTTATACACCTTCTCGCAACTTGACAGATTGCTGCATATGATTTATGTCCACAACGAGAGCTGGACTGTTCAGTTAGCACTAGGCCAATATTTGCCTAAATTCAGATTAAGTTTATTGACTCGAAAAATCTTAAAATGTCGCTGTAAGCCAAAACAGAAATGAAATCGTTGCATGCCACTTGACCCGTTTGGCCATAAAAGCTTGTTGGCCCGGCTCATCCATCCGTCGATCAATCTCATCCATCAATCATGTGTCAGCGCTGCAATTGCTCGTAATTGATGAGCTCATATATGTATATTATAAATTGATATGTCTATATGTATTCCATTTCAGACGGAGCAAATAAGACGGGCCAACCGCCTGTTCGCGTCGGATAGTCTGTTCTTGCGTCAGTTCCTGTTGGTGCCCGTGGAGAAGAACTCACCGTACTATCCCCAGGTGCCCGGCGATCCGCTAACCGCCTTCGATGCCGTGCTGGCCACGCCGCCCGGCACCCCGGATGCCAATGGCCAGCGGGAGGCCCACAACAATGCCAACAATCTGAGCAATCAGAGCAACAACAGCTTTATGAAGAGCAACGACATCAGCAGTAGCAGCAGCAGTAGCAGCAGTGGCAGCAGCAGCAGCTGCAACACAAGTGGCTCCGGAGGATCGCGTTCCGGCGGCAACAGCCATCAGCAGCACCAACAGCAGCAGCAGCCGCCACAAAGGCCGTACTCGATTGCCGGGGAACTGCTGGTGGTGCAGGCCGGAGACGAGGATCCAGAGATGATGCACGGCCACGGTGGATGCAGCGGCAAGCAGAGCAAGAGCCTTGATTCGGTGGCCGCCATGACGCCCGAGGAGGAGAACCGGAAGTGCATGAACGACTTCCTCAACAAGATCGACAACACCATTTCCGAGTCGCGCAAATATGTGGAGCGCTCCAAGGAGTAAGTAATTAGGCAAGGTTATGGTTCAAGAACCTACAGCAAGCTATATTATTACTATTCAGCTAATCAATCATTGTTCGGTTGTCAATTTGGTTAGCTCCTCCAACAAAAAAAATTAATTAGTATCCATAATATGAAAATCCATCAGTTGTAATCTGACAACACAAAAAGTGATAATTTGGTCAGTGATTTCTATTATAAATTCCGAACCAGAGCCTTGATTATCTTTAACATTTCCTATAGACATTATTTACTTATCTGTTTTTCTGTTTTTCCCCCAAACAGCCTGGTCAGCAGTCAGAGTGACGCGGACATCTGCATCAGCGGCACCGCCGACATTTTCCCGCAGCGCCGCCATCCGCTGAACAACTCCTACAAGACCAACAACAACGACCGTCCGGCGCAATACCAGCGGCACAGTTCGACGGGCAGCGGGAACTCCTCGGATACGGCGCACCTGCTGAACACGACGCAGACGAGGCGCGTTCAGAACTCACTGAAGCGACTGGAGAAGCAGCAGGACGACTTCTTTGAGTTGTAGCATCCGCAGCTGCGGGTCGAAATCTAGCCTAATTACGCTGAGAGTTAATTTTACAAATCGTTTTTAATTGCCGCGCATCGGGAGGAGATGGCGATTGTCAGCATGTTACATCACACAGAATGCCGCACTCTATATGTAATATAAAATAATGATATCTATCGACACGTATGCGCGATACCTTACCTATACGATTAAACATAAATGTAACTGAGCTAAAACCTAAACTAATCTAAATACTAAGCGCTGCGCTATGTAAACCTGTAGTACGATGACAAGGCAGTTCTGTTCCCGTTCATTTGATCTTGTGTCAGCCCTGTATAATTGCCGCCAATTTGCTTGCAAGATCCGATCTGATCCGAATCGAATTGAATCGAATCAAAACCGATCCGGAAGCCCTCTGTTCTCCTGTCCGCCCCTCCTGCCCCCTATTATGTTTACTTTTTGTATGACTCTAGCTTTAATCACACTGTGTATAATTTAGTTATGAGAATTATTAATGTTAATTGTATATAGTCGCCAGCAACACAACAACAATTCACTGGACTGCTCTTACAGCTAACACGAAATTGGCCAACTGTTGAAGTGTATTTTTTAATTTATTCTTTAGCTTTCCAAAGTATTAAAACCGCAACTGAAAATAAATCCTGTTCTTTACAAAATTGTAACCTCAATTGTTAAACAAGCATCCACCACAAAACAATATATATCTATAAAAAATATAAATATACATCCCAGAAACCTCAATATCGAACTGCACTCATATCGAGCCAAGTCATGTTATACGTGAGAATGTTTTATAAAAATAAAGTGAGAATTGTGTTGGAACAAAAAGTGATTGTGTTAATTAGCTGATGAACCACAGGAATTTCCACGTGGCGGGACATGCGCATTTCAGGGCTTATCAACAGTAGAACTTTATCAATTCAAACTGGTTGAATACCATTTTCCACTAGTAGGGATATATTTCCTATCAGAGGGTTGACCGTACTGTTGCCAGGACAACGTTACCGGGTGCAAACAAAAAGAAATCCACTTTTAGTTAACTATTTATATTTGACGAAGAAGGAAGAACAAAAATGTCGGACAAAGATTTGGATGCCACTATCCTGGTGACCCAACAAGTTTTGGGAAAATACATTAAGAAACCTCCTCTAACTGAGAAGCTGTTAAGGAAACCACCTTTTCGTTTCCTAATGGATGTTTTTAATAATGTAAGTAGTTCAGATATTTCAAACTAAACAACTTAAATGAGACTCATTTATAAATAGTTCATCAAGCAAACTGGCAAGTTGGAGGGATTATATACTCCAGAGGAGCAGACTTTTGAGAATATTACTAGTAGAGATGACAAGATACGATTTTTGCAAAAGATGATAGATGCCATCAGTAAGTTGTAATTAAAAATTAGTTTGTTAAATGGTTGACAGGCTGTTAATTTTCCCATAGAACTTATTACCAAAATGGAACTCAAAGTGCGCACTTCAAAAATAGTTGCTGGCCAGGAACCGGAACTAACCAATGAGCTCCTCCAGGCGATGGCCAGCGTGGCCGAGAAGAATTTGGAGTGGGATGCTGTTGTAGATCAGGTGGTAATTGCTCACAGCAAAACCCCAATTGCCATTACAAAACCTCCGAAGGAAACTAAAGTTTCTGGTAAGAATCCCTCACCTGCTGGAAAAGAGGAGGATCCCAAGCGGCGCAAGGAGAAGCGCATATCGCCGCAGGAGCAAAAAGTGCGAAAGGCCAACGACCCGGCAACTCGATCCTCACCCAGTGAGAAGGAAAAGGTTTCCCAAAAGAAATCAAAGGTAACCAAGGATGATTCAAAGCTGGGTAAACAGAACTCCAAGCAAAAGACTCCTTCCCCGGTTAAACAAAAGTCGAAAACCAAGGTGCAGATTTCCACTGAAAGTGATAATTTCAGCATGTCCATGTCACCAGTGCCAGCTGGAGTAACCAAGCAATCTGCTCCTGAACCTAGTCCGGCTAAAAAAGCTGTGGAAACAGTGGAAAAAAATATCTCCCAGGTTTCTCCCACAAAACCCAAGGAGCCAGTGGTGGAACCGGTCCAGGAAACTCCACCAGCTTCTTTGGCTCCACCCCCTGAGCCCGAGAGTCGCAAATCCTCCGGCAGGAGTCGTCGTTCCAGTGGCAGTCACAAACAACCTGAACCGAATCCCGTGGAAAGCCAGCCCCAACCCGCTGTGCCATCAGCAGAAACTAATCTACCGCAAGAAACCAACAACAGCGAGGCGAAGCGTGAGATTCCGATGTCCAGGGAAAACTCCAAGGAGTCAAACCAACGACCAAGGACCTCACTTAGACCCCCATCCGCTCGACCCGCCTCCGCACGTCCCGGAGCTCCACGGCGTCGAAATGTGGAGATCGTACTCCAGCCAAACGATCAGGTCAAGATGTCTGGGATAAATGTTAAGCTCGAAACCTTTGGCGACCTCGATGACGATGGAGAGAACCTGGTGATCATCGAAGACGCCAACGCACATGATATTGCCGAGGGTGGTGGGGGAGCAGAGGAGCCTGCACTGGAAGGCCAACTAGATGCTCAGGGTCGATTGGTTCAGCAGATCCTGGAAACCCAAAAGGAGTTGGTCCACCAAAATGCCGAAGTGGAGCCGCTGCAAAGTCAAGCTGCTCGTCAGAGTTCCGCTCGCCAGGTAAATGACCTCCGAGATGTGATCCAAAGTCTCACGAAGGCAGTGAATCCACTGGGGAAACTACTGGACTTCATACCCGAGGACATCGATGCCATGCAACTGGAACTGACCATGTGGCGCGATACTTACACACAGGCATCCATGGATCTAAAGCGGGAGCGAAGTCTCACTGCATCCGCCACGGAACCCATGAAGCACCAACTGCAGCAAATCCAGGCCAGCATTGCCGAGTACCGGGAGCTCATCGACGAAAGTCGCCACAAGATTCAGCAGAACAACGCTCGCATCCTCAAGTTGATGATGGAACAGTAAGGATAAGAAAATAATAACATGTTGCTGTTTTATCAATTTAATAAGAGTTCTATAAAAATAGACATGCATATATTGCTTGGATACATATTTCAATTTAGAATATATATAACATGTATATAATAATATCAAAAAATAGTATATATGCAAATAGTTTGTTTCATTCCTTTTGGGTAAGTTTGTAAGTTTGTAAAAAGTTCAATAACAGACGGGTAAGTTTCTCTCCTAAGGTCACTTGGTGCTTGAACCGAAACCAACATTCTTTAAAATATATGTCGTAAACAAACCGAGTCAGGCCTAACAATTTTTAGCTCGACTATAAAACTTTCTTTCTTATTATATTCTCTTTAAATTTATGGGAAAACAAGTTTAGATTATAAAAATATGTGCGCTTATAACATGCATAATAAACCATGCATCAAAGGCTGACAAGTCAAACTTTTTCTTCTTCGGTTTTCGCTGGGATGGTTTCCTTTTTAGGTTTCTCTGTGGTTAATTCTTCTTCTGTTTCCGCGGAAAGCGATTTCTTTTCAACTTTCGCAGGAGTTTTCTCTTCTTCAGCATCTCCTGTGATTATCTCCGGTTCGTCGTCCTCTGAAATCGATCCCTTATCTTTCTCCTTGCTGAGTCCACCTTCCTCCTGATCCTCATCTCCCAAAACATACTCGATGACATCGTCGATGGGGAAATTGTTTAGCAGCGACTTGATGGAATCGTTGTGAATGACCACGGTGAAGAGCAGCTTGCAATATTCACGCATGCGGCTGCCATAATCCAACTCCGCGTAGTTCTCGGCACCTTTGGTCAAATCGTGGCCACAGTTCTCGATCACCTTGCAAAGCACCATTTCCTCGGGAGCATTGGGCCAGCCGTATTTCTTCAAGATCGGCGGATCCACCAACATGTCAATCAGCTTGCCCACGTTCACTTTGAGCTTCAGATCCTCTTCTGTGAGGATTTCACCGGAAACATCATCCTCGCTGGAGGCATCATCCAGATTATCTGCAATGGCAGCCGCCAAGCTGGCGGCTAGGGATTTGCGCTGCTCCTTTTTGACCACCGGCGACACCTTTGCTTCGTCCTTTTTGCCTTCAGGCTTGACTGCAGCTTCATCCGTCAGCTGCTCTCCTTCGATGGCCCCATCCAAAGGCAGAATCGTGTAGGTTTCGTTTTCCAGCGTAATAGTCTGGGCAGTGCCATCGCCCTCGTCCACCAGAAATTCGCGCACCACCACACCATTGCCATCCGTTTGGCTGGAAATCAGCGACCCCGCCGAAGAGTTCAGTGCCACCGGCACAACTTCCTCCACTTCGGTTTCCTGGGACTTCTTTTGGCGCTTTGCAGGTTGTGGTTCAATGCCAAAGATGTCATCAGGATCGCATTCGTGCACAGTGCGAATGTGACGGCGCAGGGTTTCGCTGCTGTCAAAGTTCTTGTCGCAAATGGCGCAATCCGTACGTTCCATGATTTTAGCTGGTACACGTTTGGAGGCCCGTTGTGGTTTAGCTGCAGATTAAAAGAGCTCGATTAATACCATGGATTTAGCTAGTCAAGTTTAACTTACGGCTGTGTTTTCCCTCATCCATGTGCTCTTTCAACAGTGCTGTGGTGCGGAAGCTACGCTTGCATTCGGTGCAGGAGAAAGCTGGACGCTTTGTGCGGGAATGCTCCTTTACATGGCGCTCAAGTCTGGATAAAAACAATGCGGTATGTTAGGAAAATAAATAGCAAATTGGTAAAAGGCGCTTGAAAACTTACTGCTTCTCTGTTTTGAACTTTTCATCGCACTGATCACAGGCGAATGGACGAATGTGGGTCTTGGAATGGGTGCGCAGCTGGGTGGCCTGGATGAAGCTCTTGCCACATTCTTCACACTTGTGTGGTCGCTCTCCAGTGTGCCGCTTCATGTGCCGATTGAGCACCTCCTTGACGGCAAAAGCTTGGTTGCACTAATAACAAATAGGATTTAATTTACAATAGCGAATGCTTAAGAATTTAAGAGCTTCTTAACTTACCACAGTGCAACTGTAGGGTTTCTCGCCAGTGTGATAGCGGCGATGCTTTTTAAGGGCCACCAAAGCGGAGAACTTCTTGTCGCAAAGATCACAATCGAAGGGTTTCTCCCCGGTATGTGTGCGTATATGAATGCTGCGAAAAAAAGATAATTAGTTGAGGATTCCCGCAATCATTAAAAAACTCACTTTAGCGTGGACAGGCTGTAGAAACAATTCTGGCAGGTGTGACACATGTACTCCGGCTTCTTTACCACCTGCGTTCCCAAATGCTGCTTCAGATGCGACCGTAGATTGTCCAGCCGATAGAAGACGCGATCGCACACCTTGCAGCTCATGGTATCGGTCTCGTTTGACGAGCATGAAGAATACTTCTGATGGCGCTTCAAATGATAAGAGCGAGTAAAGTCTTTGCCGCAGATCTTGCAGGCATACGGCTTGCCACGGGACTTGTGCTGCTCCTCGTGGAGTGCTAGCAAAGCTTCACTGCGCAAATTGGCATTGCAAATGGAGCAAGGATAATCACTGAACTCCGAATGGGTAATAAAGATATGTCGCTCGTAGCTGGTCTGTGTCTTAAAGGACTTGGGGCAGTCGGGGCAGTTTATGTGGCCCAGCTAAAAAATTTAGTTAAGTATTAAATAGAGCTGAATATATAGTTGCTTGGCAAAACTCACATGGAAGGTGTCGTAACTTTCACTACAGCAGAAGCATATATCCTTCTTCTCCATGACGACGGCATCCTTTTCGATCTTCTCCAGGTTCTTGAGCATGTCGGCCTTTCGTAGATGATAACCACTATCGTAGCGACAGAACTCCAAATGCTTCTTAAGGCTCTGGACGCGTCGGAAAGTCTTGTAGCACTTGCCACACACGTGCTCCACGATCTCCTTGATCTTTCCCACTTGATTGGTGCTACCCTTAACAGGGGAATCGTCTCCATCCTCTTCGCCATCTTCTTCATCTTCTTCCTCTTCGTCGACTACGATCTCCTGACCATTGGTCTTTGCAATCCGCCCTGGCACAACTTCCTCATCGTCGGCCAGAATAAAAGCAATGGTCTCTTCATCTTCGTCAGAGACCACAACGGATGATGTGGTATCCTTGCTGTTTTCGGTTTTCACAGCCTGGAGGACATAGTGCTCCATTTTCTTTTTTTTGCTAGGCGAAGTCTTGATCTTGGCCGTTTCCACAGATGTTACAGTAGCGCTGGGTATCCTTTTATCGTTAAGGATCTTGACAGTGGAGCCGGCTGGACTTGTGGTCTTGGTGGCACCTTTTTTTTCCGGTTTTGGGGTAGCCAATATATCATCGTTGAGTATTTTGACCCGCGCTCCCGCAAGGCTGCCCCTTTTTTCCTGCTTAGTTGTAGGGGTTTTCGATGTGCTGGCTGAAGTGTCTGCATCTCCACCGGCTCCTATGTCATTTAACAGCTTCATCCTGGTGGCAGGACGTTTTTCCTTGGGCGGCGAAATGTTCTCCACTCCAATAATTTTCACCTTCTTTTCCTTTGCCTCTTTGGAGGTGCTCATCGTGGGTATGACTGCCTGCGAATTGGGATCAAATCTTAAATTGATTGAGGAATATTTCCAGGATCAGCGATCACCGATTTAGTCTACTTTTGGGCACGTGATTTATTGAAAATTAAATTTTGCCAGCGTCACCAACACACGCCCAAAAGCAGCAAAGAAAAAATGGCGGCACCCATACGATCGATCATGCGAGTGCAAGCGGGATAACACTTGTGCCGCCTGACGCACAGAAAACGCAACAAGTTTTCTTCTTAAATAAAATTGTATTTCAAGGGGTTGAAATAAATTCTAATACACACTGAAATCCGTTGCATACTTTTCAAATATTGAATATTTCTAGAACAGCCGAAGGATAAGGCGATATTTGATTATTGCTTTCCGGATAGGCCCTTCCAATTTTCTTCCAATCTCTCCTCGACCGACAAAAGTCGTGGTGATCGCGACAAAGAATTGAGCAATTGCAAAGTCACCGGGTGTATTCCGTTCACGCTTTTGTCACGTTTTAATATCAAGACTCGAAAGATCGTATTCGTCACAGGAATCTTGGCTTAAAGCCGATAAACAATCACAATTTACCTAATTTTATGCTTCAAAAATTCCAACACGACAAGCGTTTGTGTATGAAAATGCACGGCAGTGTGACCGTCGAGCGACCGATTGTAAATACAGAGGTATTAGCTTATATACCATACCTAAATGCGGCGGAATACCTTTCAATGTTATGTTATATGCTAAGCTGGCTACTAAAGATGAATAAAATGTTTTATATATAATATCTTGAACAAATATATCTAGAAATAAATGTAAAAATGTAAAAGTAAAACGAAGTGCTATTTTAAAATTTTATGGTAAAATTGCACTTTGGGGGCTTTTGCTAAAAATGGGCTAGAATTTTTTTTTTTAATTTTTAGCAAGGGCCCTTAAAGTGCAACTTTACCGATTTTTTATTTTTATTTTTTTCATAAGCTAGTTAATAACACATTAAAAATGGAAATAATGATTGATGTATCTGTTACTGCCACAGCAAATTTAGTTTGAATCCTAAGGGTTAAAGCATATACCGAATAGGTGTGCATTTTTAGAATATACATTCTTTAAAGGTATACTTTGGCATTCGTGAAACGGCCACATTACCGCTAATTTCCGCGTAAAAAGGTAAATAAAGGCTAAATAATAATTAAATTGAACATAAACGTAACAAAATAAACGTTAATAGAGACCATGACGACTGCTTTTGACGCTGCGCACACGGAGGGACCCGGGTTCGTGGGAATTCGCTTCTGCCAGGAGTGCAACAACATGTTGTACCCGAAGGAGGACAAGGAGAACAAAATCCTGCTGTACGCCTGCAGGAATTGCGACTACAAACAGGAAGCGGACTCCAATTGCATCTACGTGAACAAGATTATGCACGAAATTGACGAACTGACGCATATTGTGCCGGATGTAATCTCCGATCCCACGTTGCCGCGGACGGAGGACCATGCCTGTCCAAAATGCTCTCACCGTGAAGCGGTCTTCTTCCAGGCACAAACACGTCGCGCCGAAGAGGAGATGCGACTGTACTACGTGTGCACCAACCAGAATTGCACCCATCGATGGACCGAGTAAAATGATAAACGCTTTCCGCCTCTAATTGTAGCCCTAAGTAATCAAAACAAATATAAAGTCATTTGTAATGGCACATCTGTTGTTTTTTACAAGGTCATGCCGCAAAAATATCACATTGTTGCTCAATGCACGATTGCCGGTCAATGAAATAGCCACTACACAGAAAAAAAAAACAGGTTACATCAAATCTCAGGATACATTTACTGATATTATAACTCGCTTTCGCTTTTTAAATTTGTCAAAGAGGGTCAAAAACTTATAATATTTACATATCAAGATAATAACATTAAGCTAATTACATTAAAATTGATCTTGATGGTTTTTTTTTCTGTGCACACCATTCGTAGAAGAAAAACACATGTTACAGTAGAAAACTGTAAAGGGAAACACTGGGCAAATCACACAACAAAAATTAAGTTATAATTCAAAGGTTATTCGTTTTTATGCGGAAGTATTCCTGTTTGACAAAAAATAAGTTTACTGTTAATCAGGTTATGGCATATTTATGTATGCACTATAAACCTGAAAACCAGATTTTATTGTTATGACGGTAATTAACATTTTAAATCATGACAGAATTATATTTTATTTCATTTTTATCTCACACTTAGGTTTATTATCTTTATTAATTAAAATTAAAGGTTTATAGAACTTCATTTAAACTATGAATATTTTTGGAAAAATGTTAATCATCTTATCTAAACAAATTTCTGTAAACCCCCATTAACCAATAACAACTGTTATTGTAACTGAGTGAGAAAAGAATCTGGCGGAGGGGTATGCAAAATTCCGTAGTTCACGGCCCGGTGACAATTCCTCACATTTATCATCGTTCTAATCGAAGCTGACAAACACAAAAAGAAACCGAAAGCAGCGAAGAAATGATTGAACAAGTTTCTTGTGCGTATCAAGCGGCTCTGGCTGTTCGAGTGGACCTGGCCCGAAACGATCCGGAGTCGTCGCTAAGTTTAGTTTGAGCTTAGAACTTGGCGCGACGTGTTGATCAAATCGCTGAAATGTGCTAGAGCAATACGAAATCAGCCGAATCGAATAAAATCTAAAGAGCTTAGAGGAATTTAGCAAGTGTTATAGAATGGCTAAGCCAAGGTCGTCGGGAGATGCAGCGGGAAATGGAAATGGCAACGGATTGGATCCGGAGCCCAAGCAGAACTACTTCCAGAAACTATGGCGCTACCGCCACTATCTGGTCATCGAGCCCTTCTTCTTTTTCTACTTCATGGCCTCCGTGTTCAATGCGGTGGCCATGCAGAATTTCCCACTGGACAAAGCCTGTCGTGTGAATCTGGGATACAATAAGGTGGTCTGCGACACGATGCTGGATAAATCGGAACTGGGAATCGAGTGCGATGATTTCGATTTCGAGAACACCACGCAGGGTGCAACTCCAGATCTTGCTGGTTTGGTGATCGGAGCCACTGGATTTAACTACACCGTTTGCAAGGCGGAACTGGAGGCGCAGATCCTGGCGGCAGATGTCTCCGGAAAACGTGCTCCGATGGGTAAAAGACTCACCATATTTCATATATGTATACATAACACGAGTCGTTCATTAAATATACGCGCTTGGGACTCGCCATTAACATTGCTTAAATTTCAGGTTTGTGCTTAAATTAAACTCGAATTCTATTCGTTTTGCGACTCCTCTGCATATTAAGTCTCGGGATTTTTAACTTTAGGCGAGGTACACGGAAAAATGTTTGAAATGGTTTTCTGTATTTTAAAACATGTATCAAACAAACGACTTCTAGATAAAGAAAATCAAGTTTCGAAGATCTATCTTAAGTTCGTAAAAAAGTTGATTAGTTTAAAATATGTATCTTCATACTCAATCTTCAATTTTTTTAATTCCTATAAATTTCTTCCTGTTTACATTTTTTTAAGCAAAGAATCCGTGTCTTTTGATGGATGTCGTCGGAAATTAGTGGTTATCCGAACATCTAATTACCTTCTTTAATTGATTCTCTCGAGAGTTCTCTTTCGCCTTTCGATGGTGCAAACAAAAATACCCCATTATATCGTTGGGTGATTAATTTAGAGCCGGCTTAAAAGGCCTTAGCCTAGTAGCTCTATCGTAATAGTAATCGCTTAAAACCTGTTCCTTACATCGTTGTGCTTTGAGAATCTTTCGTTGGTTCACAGTCATTGTCAATGGCATTTCGTTCGCACCATAGATAATATTTTATATTCCCAATTTAGCAAGAACGCCATCCGAAAATGTCATTTGCATAGAGCTACGCGGAATTCCGGTTCTCTGCGGCAGAGAACATCTTTTTGTTTGATAACTTCAACAAATGCCAGGTTCATTAGAATGCATTGCATCAGAGATCGATAATTGAGGCTTTAAATAATTAAAACGTCATGTCACATATTTCATGGTGAAATTTCGTAGTATAAGTATATAAGGCTTTTATTGTTTGGATGCAAGCATTGAATGGAATTGATATTACTGGGTTAACAAGTTTGAATAACAAAGCAATCATCTATATTCAAAAATTTGTACAACAAAAGAATTTTTAAATGATTCGTTTATAAACAAAAAACCTAGGGAAAGTAAATTTTATTGTTAAAATAAAAGGAACAACAGGTTTAGTAAGTGTTTAATAATAACTCAAATTTAATTTACACTTTATATGAGCTTAAAACTTAAAGGAACCCTTCTCATTTTGTAAAACAATAATTGCAAGTGCGAATCATTTTAATAAACAAAATTTAAGCTCGTGTTTACCAAGTAGATTTGTTAACGAACAAGTTATTTTTGTGAACCATATTTGCATATTTGCGAAATAAATATACTCTTATATTGATTTTGTATATTATACATTATATATTTATTAAAAATGTATTGCTTATTATTTTAAATTTATCCTGCAGCTGCCATTTTTCCCCTGATTGTCCTGCTTTTCGCCGGAGGATGGGCAGATCGATACAACAAAAGAAAGCCTTGCATGATAATGCCAATTGTCGGAGAGGCATTATCCTTCACTTGTAAGTAATTGCCAATAAAGGATTGTAAAGTTATTATGTTTTTTGTACATTTTAGGTCAGATTATATCCTCTATTTTCTTTGAATCCTTGCCCATGGAGTTCGGTGCTTATTGCGAGGCGATTGTTCCTGCTCTTTTTGGAGGATTAACTTTCTGTCTGATGGCAATCTATAGTTATATCACCATCGCCACTCCCGAAGAGGATCGTGTTTTCCGCTTTGGCATCTTTGCTATGTTTGTCACAGGGGTTCCATTCATAGGTCAACCTATAAGTGGATTGCTTTTTACCACATTGGGTTATACATGTAAGTTTCTTTATAAATCTATCGTACTCTATATACATTTATTTTTAAAATTTCTTTCAGGGTCCTTTGCTTCAGCTATTGTTTTCCAGCTGATTGCGATCTTTTATATTATTTTCTTTATAAAAGAGGTTAAGAGCACTCCGACTTCTCCTCAGCCAAATGAGCCACCACCACTGCCCACCTCCCTGCCTCCCAAACAGGGAACCGACAACATGGCCTACGAGACCACCAATGTGGATGAGCATCAGGGAAACAAGAACGTCAACTTCCAGTTGACTCCGCACATGGAGCCCAAAGTGGAGGTGGTTCCCCCGAAACGCTCCCTCTGCAAGGAACTCTTTGATCCCACCTTGGTGCTGGATTGCATCCGTTTCCCGCTGATCAAGCGACCCAACAACGGACGTATGCTCCTGATCCTCCTGCTGTGCGCTTACTTCCTGACCGTGGGTCCCACTTCCGGCGAGAACGACTACTGGTACCGATTCACCCTGAAGAAGCTCGCCTGGAATGGAAACGACTTCAGTATCTACCTGACGTTGTCCAGTGGAGCAGCTTTGGTGGGCACCTTCATTGGCACCGCCATTCTGAGCAAGTTGCTCAAGGTATTGGAGTTTAATACATGCTTTAAAATATGTTTTAATATATAGGATTTTATTTTAGGTTTCTGATTCCATGATTGGCATGCTCTCCGCTTTATCCATTGTCTGCTCTCGTGTTCTGTTTGTAAGTAATTAAAATATAGGTCAAGATATTGGTCTTATAATTCATCAATTTTTGTAGGCCTTCTCCAACAGCACTACCTCATTTTACGTGGCTGGAGTTGTGGACATGTTTGTCAGTTTGCGAGTGATTGCCATCAAGACCATTGGTTCAAGCATTGTAGCTGGCGATGAACTGAGTAAGTTATTTAGATAATATATTTATTAAATGGGAAGAAACTTATTTGTTATAGCAAATCAAAATCATTTATTTATTCATTGGTTTCTAATGTTTGTTTATTTACGTACAGGTAAAATGTACTCCATCTTCGGCATCAGTGAACCCATAGCCCAGTTTATATTCCCGCCAATCTTCAGTGAGATTTACAAAAGCACAGTGGATTCATTCCCAGGAGCCATTTGGCTGTTTGGAGAAATCTTTTACATTCCCAACGTTTTGGTCTTTGTGTAAGTATTTTATTCTTTACTTATTTATAAGGATTTATTTAATAAACTATACCTTTTAGTGTATGCTATTTCCTGCTGCGGCGCCGAAAGAAAAATGACCAAAAAAGTGCCGTGGAATTAGAGCAAAATGGAGCCAATGGTGCTAATGGTGCGAATGTGCCCGATAGCGAAATAACTAGTCTATAAAGTAATTAATGCCAGTCAGTGTTGTATATGTTTTTTATTTAAAATATAAATTGTATATTTTTGTAATTTTATAAAAACTTTTTACTTATTCTAAGTTTTTGAATATTTTAGAGGTAGCAATGCATTTAAAATGAATTTCTCTAACTAAATTCAACATTTTGCCTGCAAACGTATTTTTATTTTCGTAGATGCTATTTTTAGTAAAACCTCGTAAATCCAATTACCTGTGGCAACGAAAAGGTGAGCCAACTTTGATTTGGACAATTCACTCCCTCTGGCAAATTGCCACAAATTACTTTTTTCGGACCGAATTATTTTAGTTGAAGCCTTTTTGCCTCCCGCTTTTCGTGTTTTCCCTGGGAAAAGTGGTAGTTTTTCAATCAGCAAATGCATTCAGTTTGAGCAGCCAGCTGGCGCAAAGTGGGCGGTAGCTGGGAGCAGGGGGGCGTGGCCGTATGTGGGCGCTAACTGCCGCCTTGAAACAATTGGGTGCTAATAATCCCCGGTTAATCTGCGTAAGTGTGTGTTTCTGGAGGCATCGAAGCAAGGATTCTGTGCGAAAGACATCACGCATCCTTTGCTTTTCAGCGTTTATGGACCAACATCAATATAAAAGCCTGTTGAGGAGCACCAGAAACTCAGACGCAGTTGAGCTTTGAACGCGAAAGGATCCAAACCCAAATCGATTGAGTTATTCGCGTGTCCTGTGAACAGGACTTTCTTTCGCAGAAAAATGTTGCGCCTCCTGCTGCTGCCGCTCTTCCTCTTCACGTTGTCCATGGCCTGCATGGGGCAGACCTTTCAGTACTCCAGGGGCTGGACAAATGGTAAGAGGGCCCTCAGTCCAGGATCTCCTCTGTTGGCCAACGCACATTTTCATCGGAGCAACGAGCTGGGACTCACGGACCTCTACGATCTGCAGGATTGGAGCAGCGATCGCAGGTTGGAGCGGTAAGTTTACTATAAAATAAATATTAATGAATCAAGACCTCATTTAATCTGAATAAAATTAATTTTGCTTTCGTTATATACTCCCAGTTGTTTGTCGCAACTCCAGCGTTCGTTGATTGCCCGAAATTGTGCCCCAGGAGCGGATTTCAATGCCAATCGACCAGATGCGGATACGGAAAACTCCAATACCCATTCCTCCAGACTCAACAACATTAACAACGAAAACGTTCTGTATTCAAATACCAATATCCCGAATAGACATCGTCAGTCGAATGAATTACTCGAGGAGTTAAATGCCGCTGGTGGAGTCTCTGCTGAACCCATATTTGGAAAACATTAACCATAATATTTCAGTACATCAAATTTCAAACTATGGTTTAATAGCAACAAGTGCTACAAAAATGTAAAAAAAAAAATTGTTTAAATGTTGAATAAAACGAAGGCTTTTTATGGATAAATAATTTACTGTAGTTTATGGTACACAGCACTTTTAGAGAAATCGGATAAATTGGGTAAAAATTTTAATTTCGAAGACAATTAAAAAAAATTGACTTTAAAATTACGATGAATGAGAGCAAACAAAATTACATTTTAATGAATATTTTATGTGCAAAATAAGATGAATAAAACACAACTTGAGTCAAAACATTAAGATTTGAAATACCAATTTTTTATAATAGGGCGTCCAATTTAATTTACTAAGACGAATATTACTAACAAACTCAAAATAGACTATTTCAATACTAGTTAAGTCGTACAAATGGCTCAAATGAAAGAAAATTACTAAAATAAAAGTTTTTTAAGCATCTGGCGACACTTAAATCAAAAGACTTAACTTAATTTAAAATAACGATTCCAGGGCTGTATCGAATTGGCAAGTAGTGTTGATGAGCACAAAAGTATCGGCTTTATATTTTCGTGCAAAAGCCTCAACGATAGCAATATTTATTTGTTTAGCAAAATATCGATACATTGACATCTTAACATATTTTTCACATCCCTAATCGAAAGAAAGAACCAAAAAGATTGCGGAAAAGTGCAACAATTAATTTCCCCCGCCATCGCAATGCTGCCATGCATATAAACGATCGCGTTCGATTGAAAATGCGCTGCTGCGTATGACCAGAGTTTTCCGATCGAGGTGCATTTCGGGGCTTTTCCACATATTTCCCTCTTTTTCTTCATTTTGGTCTTCTTCCTCTTCTTTCGCTCGCTTCGCACAACAGCAGCAGCAGCAACAACAACAATAACGACGGGCGACGTTTTTTCAGTGGCGAAAACTGTACGCAAGAGGGGCGAGAAGAGGCAAAAAGTGCAAAGAGAAAAAGAGGAGAAAAAAAACACACATGTAATGTGCAAATGTTTTATGAGTTCTACGTTTTTTTTGTGTTTTTTGCTTTGGTTTTCCGTCAGCTAATTGCAGTGTGGTTTTCCGCGTGTGCGTGAGCGAGTGGGAAGAACGCGTGTCCAGGAAAAACGCGCCAACGAAAACGAAGTAACTACCGCCCACCCAGCGATCACGCGCGCCCATTTTTCCGTTTTCCAAACGCCCCGGTCACACCGCTCTCCTAAATGATAATGGTGCGCAGACGACAACGGCCCGTCAAGGAATCCACATCCTCCTCTTCCTCTGGCGGCGCCTCATCGGGATCAGGGTCGGGAATTCCCGATGGCCAAACCCTGCCACTGAATGTGGCGGGAAATCTGCTGGAGGATCAGTATTTTGCCAGCCCCAAGCGGAAAGACTGCCGACTGATGAAGGTCAGCGAAAATGGCCAACTGCCGGAAGCCACAAGCGTCCACAAAGGCCATCAAAACAAAGACAACAAAGCGGGCCGCACAATAGGTGGGTGTTCTTATTTTTTTTTTTGAGGTTATCTTTGGTTGCTGAAATACCCCTTGTTTTTGTTCGTTTAGGGGTTCCCCTGGCCACACGCTCGCAAACGCGCTCCATCGAGAACTTTTTTAAAGTTAATGCTGCCGTTAAGGATTCCCAAAAGACAATACACACAGAGGAGCAGCAGGAGCAGGATATACACCATCCTGATCAGCAGCTACAACTGGAAGACCAACAACTCCTAAAGCAGGAAGATGAGGAGCTAAAGCTGCAGCCTGAGGAGCTGAGCGATCATGCAGATGAACATCTGCCATTTGCTGATGAAGAAGATGCCAAGGCCGAGCAAAAACTAATGGACGAGGAACTGCAGCAAGTGGTGGAGGAACTCCTGTTCGACGGCAGTTCTAGAGCCTCCTCAGATTCGCCTTGCTATCAGCACGAAATGGAGGTCATCCCAGAAATTCCACACATCAAAGAGATCAGCGAACCGCACGAGGCACTGGGCTCCCTGGCCGACTTCCAGACACATCGCTCCGCATTGCGAGACAGCCACAGTTCGACGCACAGCAGCAGCACCGACAACATCTTCCTGCAGGAACCCGTGCTCACCCTGGACATCGATCGCACGCCCACCAAAGCCTCCAGCATAAAGATCAATCGGAGTTTCGAACTGGCCGGAGCCGTGTTCTCATCTCCACCGTCGGTGCTAAATGCCTGCCTTAATGGGCGCTTTAATCAAATAGTAAGCCTGAATGGACAAAAGGAACCGCTGGCCGGGCCGAACTTTGACTTGGACCAGCATGACAGTAGTTCCTGCGATAGCGGCGTGGCCTGTGGACTCACTGCCAACACAGAATCGCCAGCGGGAGCTGCAGCTCGTCGTCGGAAACCAGCCACACCGCATCGCATACTCTGCCCCTCGCCGATCAAAACCGGACTGAAGGTTACCGGAGGCATTTGCAAGGTGGGATCCACGGATCCACTATCGCCGCGCAAGTCGCCGAGGAAATTGCCCGCCACCACAGCAGCGGTGGCCGCCTGCAAGTCGCGCCGAAGACTGAACCAGCCAAAGCCACAAGCGCCTTACCAGCCACAGCCACAGCTACAGAAACCACCGCCACAGCAGCAGAACGACATCGTAGTGGTGCTAGACGACGAAGACGAGGAGGAGGACGAGGACGATGTCCATGCCCTGCTGAAGGCCGCCGAAGAGCGTGAGAACCAGAACAAAGCACCAGCCACAGCCAACAGCAACAACAACAAAGCGAGCATAAAGACCATGCTCAAGCCAGCGCCCGTAAAAGCAAAGACCAAAAGCAAGAGTTCGGCAAAGGGACAACAACCGCCGCTGCCGTTGGCTGCCACCAATGGCAACCGTGAGATGACCGACTTTTTCCCGGTGCGAAGAAGTGTGCGCAAGACCAAGACGGCCGTCAAGGAGGAATGGATGCGTAACCTGGAGCAGGCGGTTCTCGAGGAGCGCTGCGAGGGTCTCCAAGTGCGCCACTTCATGGGCAAGGGAAGAGGTGTAGTCGCCGAGCGGCCGTTTAAACGCAACGAGTTTGTGGTCGAGTACGTGGGGGATCTCATCTCCATCAACGAGGCCGCCGAGCGGGAGAAACGTTATGCGCTGGACGAGAACGCCGGGTGCTATATGTACTACTTCAAGCACAAGACTCAGCAGTATTGCATCGATGCTACCGCGGACACTGGCAAGCTGGGACGTCTCATCAATCACTCGCGAGCGGGCAACCTGATGACCAAGGTGGTGCTCATCAAGCAGCGGCCGCATCTCGTGCTTCTGGCCAAAGACGACATCGCGCCTGGCGTGGAACTGACCTACGACTATGGCGATCGCTCCAAGGAGTCACTGCTGCACCATCCGTGGCTGGCCTTCTGAGGAAGAGCTCTGCAGGAGCTCGCAAAAGGGGATGTGGTTCAGCCTTAAAACGAAGACTATTTACCATGTTCGAGGCAGAGGGTATTTAAAATAAGTCCAGGGCTAAACTGGTTTTTGGCTCGTGGGATTCTTTCTTAGCTTTTGTACGTAGATCGCCTCGCCTTGAACCATTGCAAAATTGTTTTCAGCCCAGTTCCATTGCGATAAGTTGCCGGAATCGCGGACTTAACTATTCATTTTCTTTCACAAAATATATATCAAGATCAAAGCAAGTAATATTTTTGGTAAGACCAATCAAACAAACAGTCCAAATTCCGACAACTTCAATCAGAATGGAACAAGGAATGGGGGCTTTTTAGACCTGTTCCGGGCATCCCCGAGCTTAGATCTTATTTGAGGAAAGTATGTAAACTGTTAGTTCAAAATATCATAACGGATAGCGACACCCACACATCCCTCACTCACTTCTGGGTGGTTCTAGCCAGGGACGAAAAGTAATCAATGTAAATTCTAACAAGTTTGCCTCCGAAATAGGTCTAATGTCGATTTTGATCGCTTCAGTTTTCGAAAACAAAAAAGAGTTACCAAACAAGTTCAGTAAAATAATCGAAATTAATAATAAGAACAAAGTTATCAAAAAGACCTAGCCTATAGAGATTGTAAATTGATATTAGACCCATTACCCGTAAGCAAAATGCCTTAAAATTGTACGATTACGATTCACCCCCAGATTCTCGGCAGAAGATCGACCCGCCCGTGCCCCCCACACACTCATGAGCATATTTTTTGGATTTGTTAGCGTTTCATTATGTTAGAGCAAGGCTAAAGTTAAGGAGAGATAATAATAATAATAATTAAAAACAACGCGCTATAACATTAAGGCATCTTAAGATAATTGAATGAAAAAGAAAAAAACTGTTGACCATTTAGAGAGATGATGATGATTTTTCATGAAGATGTTGATGAAGACACACATTCGCATTGACAAAAATCGATCGTACACTATTTATATAGATATTTATATTAGATACATGTGTAATTTCTAACTATTACGTACTATTTACTGCCATAGAGCTATACACTCCCTCGCACCTGCCCCCCAAGCCCCTAGGAACTGACACTAAAAAGTTGATTTAACTCACAGACACAGACTCATTTATTCACGAGGCTTCTCCAGGAGAGTAGTGGACTGCTGGTCACCTAGTGCTTCAACTTACTGATGATAATCTCTCTACTCACACGCAGGTTTCAATCACACACACACACTCACTCGAACACCCATATATTATATATGTAATTACGATAGATCACCTGTAGTCCCGTCCCAGAAATCCGGCTTCTATAATTTAGCGAAAGAGAGTTCAAATTTGTGTTGTCCCCTACATTACCCAGATTTTTGTATTTTCAATGAATGCTCCAATACTGAAGGATTTCGTTTTTCAAATAGTTTTATTTTAATCTGCGCATATCTTTACATTATATAATATGGTAAATATACTTTAATATGTTCTAGTACATAGTTAATTCATTTATTTAAATCAAGCAGCAACCATCTATAATCATGTTCTTGTTTTTACCTTTTTTCATTGACTTGGCAAAATAAAACAAAACAAATGGAAATCTATTTGTAATTTACATGTTAAGTCTAAAACCATATGATTACATCAAACACTTAGTTTTAGTTGATAATTGTTTATAATTTTCAGACACACACGCAACACACAGATACATTCAACTTAACGTGCGTAACATAAAGTAAAATAAATAAATGAAAACACATTAACACGAAACAAAACAATAATCAAGAACTGGAGCGGATTGGGTTTCGTTTTCCAGCGATTTTCTGGAGATCATCATGGCAAACAGGCATACATCCGTCATATACTCATTTACACTTGGAATGCTCGGGAGAGTTCATCTATCAACTAACAAATCCTATTACATTTACAACGTTAACTATGTTTGCTTGGTTAGTTCGGTCTTCTTCATGTCGGTTTAAGTACACAATATAGAAAAATTCGCATCAGGCGGGTTGGGTTTTCTTCAATGTGGTGGCCCGCATTCGCTTTGGAGTATTTCTCGAGGGAGTTACAAAAAGGGAAGTTCGTATGTGGAATGCTTGTTCGGCCTTACTGATGACAGTCCAGCCCTCAAATTGGTGGAGTATTTTGACTTTACAAGCCGATGTTGGGTGCGGATTTTGGGCTTACTAAGCTAAAATCATAACTAGTTATTTATCTCTACAAAATAAAGCGGATTCTAAATGTGTTGACCAGGAATCAGAATAAGAATTCCTGGCATCTGTATCAACAATTTTCTAATCTTTTTTTTTTGGTCATCTAGTGGTTATCTTAAGTTGGTATATTGATATGACCGAAGTTTAGCATTACAAGCTGATAGGTTCGAGAATTTCACTGGGCTTAAAGTGTTTGAAATTTTACAAATTCGTAGCTTTTCACTTAAAAATAATTCAATAGTCAAGGGTCTAAATCATTTAGTTTCCGCAATAGTTTATAAAAATCAATAACGATATAAAACTCGGGCACTACGAATTTTTCGCTTTACAAAATATTCTTGCTAACTAAAATTAATTTTGGAATTTTTTGTCTTTGTCAAAATTAAGTACAACATAAATTTAGAATCGAAATATTGCACAAAATGGCTTACTCTTCTCTTATTTTTTTTTAACCTGATCTACGACTAACACAACAACATGCACGCACAACAACAACAACAATTATGCCAACGGCAACGTCAACAACAACAACGACAACAACATGGAACACAGCTTGCATCAAACTACGTGTGTGACGGTTCGGTTTTTTCTTTATGGTAAATATCAGACGGATTCATAATACTGACTGGCTCCCATGGGCGCACGTGCCCCCAATTTTCATCTCTCTCTTTTTTGCCTACGTGAGTATGGTGGCCTCGCCGCCTCCCAGTGGGCGTGGCCCGCCCACATGCTGCCGATGCTGCTGCTGGTGTTGAAGCCGCCCAGCGCCCACCCTCAGCTTCTTGTGTCATTTCTTGCCACCGAAACTCGGTTTCGGAAGCGCACCCATAAATGCACCAGCGTTCGTGGGCAAAACGGGTGCCACAAAGCTGAGATCGGGAATGAGGGAGATGCGTGGTGCCACCTTGGCGTTGCCAATTTGGAACTGCTGCCGCTGATGCTGCTGCTGATAGGTTGGGCCACCCACGGCCAGTCCTCCGGGAACGGGCGCCGTCGAAAAGTCGTGCATGATGTGTATTTGCTGTGGAATCGCTGGCACATTGTTGTTATTTCCGTTGCTGTTGTTGCTGCTGCTGCCGCTGCCACTCGGCACCAGATTGCTGTGGTGCTGCTGCTGCTGTGCTTGGTACAAACTCATGGGATTGTTGTAGAAGTTAGCGCTCTGCCAGGCCCCGGAATTGAATTGTGGAGCCGGTCGTGCCGGCAAAGGAGTACTGCTCACAAAATCCGACCAATCATCTTCTTTTGGCGCTGACGGTGCCTTTCTCAAATTGCTGTTCACATTATTGTTATTATTATTGGCGATCGAGTGCTGTGCCGGCTGCTGATGTTGCTGCTGGGCAACTGGAACCGAGACAAAGTCCGACCATTCATCGTCCTCCTGAGGCTGAGATGGAACTGGCGCCGCAGGAGGTGCTGGCTTCTTGGCCACTGAAGCGCTTATCGTTAGCGGTTTGGCCTGCGAGGAGAACAGCTCCTCTATTCTGGCCATCTCCTCGGCATTTATGCTGGACAAAGCATTGTCGCCCCATTCAATGGATGCAGCAGCTGGCTTCTTGGCGAGCGGAATGGCTTGCGGCAGCAGAATGGCCGGACTGAGGATCATCTGCTCGCCGAAAGTCGGAGTATCGATCCTTGATCTCGGAGCCGGCATCGATTGAAAGTCACTGAAGTCATCGTCTTCCGTCGGCGGTGGCAGCTCGAAGCTGCTGGCTGATCCATTGCCAATCACTTTACTGGGCGAATCCAGACCAAATGGTGGCTTGTACTCCACATCGCGGTACTCCTTCTTGACCACCGTCTCGTCGATAATGATGCCCGTGGCCGCCATCTCGTAGTCGAAATCAATGGGCGCCAGCGTGGTGGTCTTGGCCACCGCCGTATCCGATTTGGAGGGTGTGTAGATGTGGGTCTCCTTCAGGGGCACCGAATAGCTGGCCATCGAGCTGCCCACGATCTCATCCTGAGCTGGCGGCGGTGCGGGCGACGGAGTGGTCCTCAAATCAAACTGCTCCTGCTCCGGCCGCTGCTGCTGATGCAGCTGCTCACCGCCGTTGAGCTGGTGGGCAGGGCTGTCTGCTGGTAGAGCAGTCGATAGCGTCGCTGCTGCTGGAGCAGCAATTGCTGCTGGTGCCGCTGCTGCGGATTCAAGATGGTTCGATTCGATGCTGGAGATTGGAGCTGAGTTGTAGCTATGCTTCTGTCGCTCTTCGCCGTCGGAATTGCTGGCGGATCCGGAGCCGGAGGACCCTTCCCCATGAGACGCGCCAGTCCGCGTTTCAGTTTGGCTCGCCGATGCTGCGGTGGAGGTTTCAAGTCCTGTGCGGAGGAAAGGAGACAATTATTTGCTTGTCATCAAGATAACTACTGAATATACTTAGATATTTAATAAAAGCTTACACAATAATCATCTATAGTGTTGCAGAAATACATGTTTATGTTCTTTTAAGAAACCTCTGCCCAATTTCAGACTTCCGTAACACATCAGATGATAGCTTACATTACAATATTGGTTAGTTTGAACTGTTTCTAGCTAAGTAAAATGTGAAAATGAGGGGAAATCCGGGTTGGGTTTCAACTACTTGTGCTTGAACTGAGCTGGCTGAGATCGGATGCTATGTGCCAAAGTAACAAGAACCGGGGAACTGTGGATCAGGGTGGACAGTAGAGGTAGAGTAGAGAGATAGAGCTGAGAAGTATATAGAGAACCAAAACGGAACAAACCGAAAAATGGAGGAGAAACAACTACAACACACGCACAGAGCCAACGAAACTTACTAAAATCCAGCAAGGCGTCGTGAGCAGTGAGATTTGTGTTAATTGTTATTGTCATTGTTGCATTGTTTGCATGATTGTTGTTAAGATTGTTATTATCATTATTGTTGTTGTTGTTATTGTTGTTGTTATTGCAGATGGTGGCAAAATGTGTTGTGAGTGGAGTTGAGTGGTGCAAATCGATTGTCAAATTGTGATTGTTATGGGTCGTCAAATCCATCACAGGTGGTTTATCATCCAGTTGAGCAAAGAGAGCAGCAACGTCGTTGTCGTTATCGTTGTCACCATTATCGTTGTTAACGTTGTTGTTATTGGTGTGGGAGTTAGAGGTAACAAGATTTATTTTATCAGCATTAGCCACCACCGTTAGTTGGTCTAGTTGTTCCAATTGTAATGTCTGTACATGTGATTCTAAATACAATTTATCGTAAGGATAAACTTTTTTTTGATTGTTTGTTGAGATAGTTAGAAGAAATGTGGTCACAAGAAAAACAAGGCAAACGAAAAGATATTGTATATATATATAGAGAAAGGAGCAGCCAATCGAACGGCAGGCCAATCCGGGAAAGCGTGTTTAAATAGGATCGGGAAATAGGCAACGAAAAGCGTTTGAAAGTAAAGCGAGCGTTAGGCGATAGGGTGGCAATTTCTCGAGTTACGAAACTTGTGTAGCGGTTAATTTGCGGCAACTAAGTGGAGCAATTTCGCAGAAATATGTTGTGGAAAGACTTACCCTGGTAGGTGCTGGGATTGGAGATCGACTCCAAGGTGCTAGAGGCTCCGGTTGACGTAGGTTTCATCGGCTTAAGCGGATCAAAGCTCAGGTTGGCGGCAAAACGCGGCATTGATGAGTTCCACTTGTCGCCAAAGAGCTAAAATTACGAAATTATTTATACCATCTTTAAGGATATTTCCAATTATAAAGCTTACGATATTCCTCGAGTCGATGCCCAGCGATCGAACGAGGGAATGCCTCATCTCCGAGCTGCTCCACTGATAATCCAGAGCCCGAGCATGCTCAATGGCACCGAAATTGAATCGCTGGCACTGCGCTAGTGGCTTCCGTTTATCCACACTCGTGCTTTCCAGCTCCTTTGACTTCGGGAACATCATCTCCAGGACTGGTTTCACCCTATCATCGATGCTCAGGTGAACAGCGGCTGGCGGAGGTGGTGGAGGTACTGAGATAGCAGCCGCTAGGGGCTCTGAAAAGTCGCCAAAATCATCCTCGTCGTCTTCGCTTTGACCCGGACTTCCTTTTGTTGGCGTGGCAAATTCCTGGAAGTCATCAAAGCCATCGTCTGCTGATTCTGGAGGAGGTATATTCAAGGAAGCCTCCAAAGGAGAAAGTGACTTGGCCTCCAAAGGTTTGGTTTTTGTTGCGGAATGATCTTCAAAAGCGGGTGGCTCACACGCAGATTTGGGAAGAGCTGTTGTTGGGGTTTCCTTGACTTCTGGTTCAAGTTTCGCAGCAGAGAAGTCCGCAAAGTCCCCGAAATCATCATCTTCCTCCGTTTCCAGATTTTCAGGAATAATTTCTTTGTGTACTGAGTCTTTTGGCGCTGCCTCAAAGTTAGCAAATTGAAATGTATCACTATCCGCTGGTTCATCATTATTATTGGAGGTTTCTCCAAAGCTTATCTCCTGGCTCTCCAAAGGTTTCGCCAAGCTATCTGAACTTTCTTTACTTTCTCTTTCTCTAAAGCTTTTTTCTTGTTGGGGAGTTTCCTTCAGGTTTTCTTTTTCGCCGAGTCCACATCCTCTTCCGAAAAACCTCCTCCATTTGGTAACGTTGGTGTGGCCAGCACCTCGATTGCAAAGAAATCTACGGCACCCTCGCGAATAAATAGTTCTTTGGGCTTCTTTGGCGAGCACTCCTCATCGCTATCATCGGACACATCCTCCAGCGTGACTTGGTGGCTGAGGACATGAGCTTTGGTTGTTTCTATTACGGCCGGAGCAACTGGCTCCGCTTCTGCAACGGGTGAGAGCGTGGAGGCGGCGGAGACGCTTTCTGTAGAGTAGAGACTTAAGCTGTCCAGCTTTAAGGAAGGCACCTGCTCCTCCAGTTCCTCCTCTTCGAGTTCCAAACTAAGAGGAGGCGGCGTGGGTGGTGCTTCATCCCTATAGACATCATAGTCCATCGCCTGCTTTACTTGGTAATTGAAAGCCTCGGCAGTTTGTTTATTTTCCAGTAATTCTGGTGGTAGTTCTCGAAACTCCTCAACGGGATCGGGTGGCGCGGGCGGTTCTAAAAAAAAGGGGGCTTATGTAAGTAAATTATAGGAACTTTTATACCAGTTTAAGCCTACCTTTCAAGCTGCTGACTAAGCCAAAATTGGAGTATTCGTCACCTTCGTCCAAATGAATTGTGGATTGCAAACCGGAATCGTCGTCTTCCTCCCCGAAATCAATGGGCGGCGGGGTGCTGCAGAGCAGCGGGGGTACGTTTACCATATTGCCAGCTGCACACTTCTGCAAAGGATCCCCTTAAATCCACTTCCTGTTTAAAAAAAACCATACAAAAAATAGGGAACGGTTTTGATCTTCTATCCCTTTTGCCACTCTTTATCGGTATGTGTGTGTATGTGTGACGCAGGTGTGGAGGGCTGATTGTGTGTGTGCCACTCAAGGTCTGTGTTGGAATTTTCTTGTTTGCATTTAACACGCGTCAATTTTCATCAGTCTGCGGTTTTTGTCAAATTGCTATTATGTTGGTGGCTATAAGAAAGTCTTTGCCAAATTTGCAAGTTGCGTTTTAGCTGCAAATAGCCATGATTTCCCGAAAAACAATACTTTTTTCCCCGATAGAGCTGGATTTATTTGATATCGATGTCTAGAAATTTTGCAATATCGATGTTTACCCTTCAACAATCGATTGAAATATTTTTTAATTTTTTTGTAATTTTTAAAAAAAAAAAACATTCTAAGGCTTTTAATTAAAACAGTTTTGTCAAAGTTGTAATTTTTTTTTATTTTAAGTAACAAGATTTAAATAATATGCAAACAAATTTTAATCTGGTTACCTGGTTCATGTATGTCAACTATTTACTGGCTTTATGCCGTATTATAAAGTCAAAAATCGTTGAAGTGAAACACATTTTTGAAATAAATTGTTATTTATTTTTCCTACCTTTTTTAAACTTACTGGCATCGCCGTTAATTGACCGATATAACTATCGATATCCGCCGACTGTCAACTTTGACAGCTGTTTTAAGGTTATACTGCGCTACCGTTGCAATCGCTCCACCAATTTGGGTAATTTTGCTTACTTAATACAAAAAATTGCATAAAAGCAAAGGAATATAAAGCTGTGAAGTGGAGGACGTTCCCAGGAAATCTCTAAGCTAAGAATTATAACTGATAAACCTGATTTTCTTGCAGTTCCCGGTCGGACAATTACATAACTCGAAGAAGACACAATGTCGCAGGCTCCCGTTCGCGTTTCCCCGCTGATTAAGTTCGGAAGATGGTCCCTGCTCTTGGTGGGCATTGCCTATGGAGCAGCACACCAGAGCCGCCTGTCCAAAAAGGAGGAGAAGGTGCGTGAGATCGAGGCACAGCAGAAGGCCGTTCGGGATGCCAAACTCGCCGAGGAGAAGAAGCGCAGTGCCGAGGCTGAAGCCCGTGCTCTGGCCGAGCTCTCGAAGCCCACTCCCAAGCATTAGGATCCTCCAGGATGCAACATCCTTAGTTCCTTAGCTTTAAATTGATAAACAAAAACAACCAACATTTACACACGAAATTCGCCTGGAAAGAGGAGGAGCAGGATCGCCGATAGTGGAGCCTCCATCTATCGATCACTGACTATCGATCGTTCTTGTGTTTTCCTCTTACGTTTGTGCATAAACAGAATGTTCGCAATTAAATGATTGAAACAAAACCATTATGTAAATTTGATGTAGTGTTTTGTGTTTGTGATTAAGTGGCCCTCGATGGAGTTAAATGATTTTGTTCAAAGTTTGCAAAAAGATTTATAATGGTACAGCAAAGGCAACTGTGAAGTAAAAACACAACTTGTTATTCAGCTGATTTTTATCCTAAGAATCCACACTGAGATTACCGTATAATATGGAAATACGCTTCCCTTCTTTGGGTTTAGAATAGTTTTTGTTAAAAAGTTTTTCTTATTGGATATACACTGATTGGGCCGATTGGCCTACTTAAAAATTGTCGCAAACAGCTGATTGCTGGCGAAAGCCGGCTTGTGTTTACCTCCTCAATTCGTTCGCAAATCGTCACTCATTACACTCGGCTGCTCTGTTTGATCGATAATCCCCCGGAATAATTCCAATTGCGGAAGTGTTGAGACACCTTCCGTGTTCGCGGGACCATCAGATCACGCAATACCTTTGAGGACATGCTATCACAGTAGCGATGACAAACTTTTTGGATCAGTTGCCCAAGCGCATTAGGGAAATCGCGGAACAGGGTAAGGGTTTTGGTTTCTAAAACTTTGTTCAAGTGCCAGCTAATGACCTGTACTCCAGTTAATGTCCTTGCCCCAGAGGAGATCCTAACAACGCCGAAAGTACGATTCCTGGACACCCGTCAACAATCTCTGTACACTTTAGTGCGAAAGTGCACTCCTGATGATGTAAGACTGCTCAAGGATGCCGCGGCCAAGTGGCTCGCTGAAATGCCACAGGCAGGTAAAAACAATTCCATTTCCAAATTTAAAGATGAGTCTAACTTATTTTTTTTAGCGGATTCCCTTTTCAAGCCCTTGGTGAATGTGCGATGGTCTCGGGTGTCTTTTGGTTGTTCAGGGCTGGATCGCTGTACTCGTGGTGGAGTGGTCACTCGAGGTATCACCGAACTTTGTGGGGCAGCCGGCGTGGGCAAGTCCCAGTTGCTCCTCCAACTTTCTCTGTGCGTCCAGTTGCCCATCGAATTGGGAGGATTGGGCAAGGGAGTGGCTTACATTTGCACGGAGGATGCTTTTCCGGCTAGAAGGTTGCTTCAGATGAGCAAGGCCTGCGAGAAGCGACATCCCCAGGAGAAGCTGAACTTTCTGGGCAACATCTTTGTGGAACACCATTACGAAACAGTAAGCACAATTCATTTGAGAGATTATTATTCATAGTAAGAACTTAAATTTTTAATTCTATTTTACAGGAACCTCTTCTAAACTGTATAAAAAATCGACTGCCGCGACTTATGCAACAACATGGCATTGGTCTAATCATCATAGATTCCGTAGCAGCCATATTCCGGCTATACACTGACTTTTTGGAGCGAGCACGTCACATGCGACGTCTGGCAGATGCACTCCTAAGCTACGCGGATAAATACAACTGTGCCGTGGTGTGTGTGAATCAGGTGGCTTCCAGTGGAGGTCAGGATGAGGTTCCCTGCCTGGGATTACAGTGGGCACACTTGGGACGAACCCGCCTGCGAGTATCACGGGTGCCCAAACAGCATCGTATGGGAGATCAGTTAATTACGGTGCGCAAACTAGAGATCCTCTATTCGCCGGAGACCCCCAATGACTTTGCCGAGTTCCTCATCACCGAAGAGGGCGTCGTCGATGTTCCAGAGCCAGCTTTCACCCGCCCACCTGCTAAAATGCGTCGACTGTGATCGATTGAATTTATTCAGTTTATTTTGTTTTCGTTAAATTTGTTGAATTTAAAATGTGTAACGGCAGAGATTTCAATCAGCCATTAAATTGTTAAAAACTCCTATTAAAATTAGCGGAACTTTAAAAAGGACTAAAATAGTTTTTTGAAATTGGTTTAAGTTCCCTTAATTTCAAAAGGGATCAGAATAATAGTTTGTATTTGGATAAATGTTTAATAAATCCCGCAAAATTTAATTAGAATTCAAACAATTTTTCAAGCTATTTCATCTTTTTTGCCTTAGTTCCTTTTTGTACAAACACTCAATAAATATGTTTCATTCAATTGCAATTTACAGGGTAGCAGAGCTTAAAGGCCTACGTACACATAGTTTATAGTTCAAATAGTAAAATCAATTTTGTAATCGCCTCGTATACATTATCACATGAAATTCTCGAAAGTTCAGATTACAATTTGCCATAGTTTACGCGGACATTTAAATGCGACATTTACAAAAGCCTAACCTTAGCGTTTAACTTTATTAAATAAATTAAATACAAGCCTAAGGGTGAACTGATTACGCGACAATTAAATTACAATTAGGTGTTACAACTAAGGGGATTTTCTTTTGTTTTTTTATTTTATTGGGAAAGGGGATGGTTTTTTTCCTCTTTGTGGATGAGCAATATTCGACTTTTTGGCACAAGTTAATTTGACTGTGTGTGTGTGTTGGGGGTTTTCATCAGTTTTATTTGTTTTAGACCTTCCGCATGGGCACATCCTGATCCTGGGAATCTTGGGCCTCCGTGGAATCGCCATGTTCGCTGGACGACCCATCTTCTTCCTCCTCCTCTTCTTCTGCCTCGCCCTCCGACGAGGAACTTTCCGTTTTCGGTAGCTTTTCCAGTTGCAATGGTTTATTGGCCATGGCCAAGGCAATGGATATTTTACTAGCCGACAATTTACTTTCAAAATCCATTTCCGTTAGCTGGCCGTTTTGAAATGCCACCCGTAGTTCCCGATGCTGCGGCGATTCTTCCAGTTTTATATCCAATTTCTCGGTTTGTTCGAGTGGCGCGGCTGGTTCTACAGTTAACGGTATAGCATGCTGATGCAAACGATGTTGCAGCAATTGATTTTCTGTATTATTATTTATTCTCTTTTCAGCTGCAGGTTTTGGTTCGGTCGTCTCCATTTCCGCACTTCGATTTGCCTGATTGGCCGTTTTGACTGTCTTTTCCAGCAGCGCATTCAATTGTTTTTTAATCTTGGTGGTATTCTGTTTGCCAGGTAATTTGCCCTCGCTATTATTAACATTATTATTTAGTGTACTATTATTATTGTTGTTGCTACCGCGATTTGGAGATTTTGGAGATTTCTTATTCTCCGCAGTTGGTACGGCACTGCCAACATTGGGCGAATTTGCATTCGCGTTGGTAGTTTTCTTTTCGCCGGACTCGCCACTTGTTGTTGTGTTTGTTGCTCCCGGCTTGGCATTCGAGGATTTGTGCTCCGCCGCCTCGTTGTTCGTGACATTATCCTGCTTTTTCCACTTGGTGCGTCGATTTTGGAACCAGATCTTCACCTACAAATAAGCAGAAGAAAGTTTTGATTAATAAAGTGTTTTTCTTCGATCTGGCAATGATTATACCGAAAAAAGTGCTTAAACACCAATTACTACTTTAAAACTATAAAAAAGCTAAGCAAAAGAGGTTATCTGTGTACCTATGCATGTGCCAAATAATGCTTTAGCCCCAAATCGGTGAGTCAAAGCCATTCATAGCCACATAATTACGAATGTTTATGCCCCATTTGGCCTTATTAGTGGGCGCACAACAAATAACTCGAGAATTGTGTATCCTCCCCCCCCCAGTAGAAATTATTTGAATATACTCGCAGCACTTCCGCCCCGTCAGTCAGTCGCAGCTCATTTTTCCTCCGACTCCAAACGAGAGCAATGATGAAATGACAGGCGCACGTCAAAAGGCGAAAAATCGAACCCCCTTTCGGTCGCTATTTTCCCCCCTGTGGAAACACCGGTGCCCATGACGCAACATAAAACATTTGCCTCTCATTTTCGTTTTCATTTCCATTTCATCCAGAAATGATGGGCCAGCTAAATAAATGAAAAATCTATTTAAATCGCGCACATAATTAGTATTTCAGCGGCATGTCTGCAGATACACACACTCGGATTGAGATACAGATACAAACGCCAAAGATAGATGCCTGCTACTGTATGACATGCTCATTTCGCCGGAGTGGCGGAAAAAATTATGAAATTAACATGAAAACGCCACACAAGTTTCCCATTCCGAAAGGAAAACAAATTTCAAAGAGGAAATGCTCAAGTACGAACTGCACAAATAAATCCCATAATTTTTTCGTATCGAAAATCAATTAATTGATTGCCAAATATTTCTGAATTTACTTAAATTCAAATTGTTATGTACCCGTCGATGGATTGATGCGCATGTAAAGTGTTTATTTTACGGATGAAGATCGATTATGAGTGAGTTTCCTCACTATTATTTTCGGCCACGTACAATTGGCAATTACTCATCCCGCGTGCCACCCCGAAAATGATCATTAGATACATTCATACGTCCATAAACAATAAAGCATTTCCCGTGTTTACCTTAGCCGCAGTCTTAATGGCCAGCCCAAGTGGATTCCTTCCTTTCACCTAAATGGTTTTATTTTAATGGCCTTTTGGGATACGGGCCTCATCATCGTCGTATTTAATTGTTGATTATTTTCAAGTGTTCGCTTCACCGGCCATTGAGTGGTGCGATGATCTAATTGATTCGTAGATTTCGGATTATTAATGTTTTGGGGCGCGATGCGATTTGGTAAATATTGCATAAATCTTCATTAATAATTTATGTTTTTTTCCCCCTTAAATTCTTCCGCTTTTGGGCTTGAATAGATTGCGTATCGTCAATAAACTGCCTTGTTTGTTATGTTTTGATCTGGGCACTAAACCTCATTAAGGCGAGATGTGGAAATTTTTCTATAAATATCCAGAACTTGTCAAGCGATTCACGGCCCCCATTCGCAACCCCCCTCAAATATCTTTCGACCCGGTTATGATTTATTGACATTTAAGAGTGTCTGTGTGAGCGTGTGTGGCAGGAATGACAGAAACAGAGCGCATAAATAGCCCAAAAGACAAACCAGAGCCACTCGAAATGAAGAGGGAAAATTTCCCAGTAATTTAATTGATTTGCCAAAGAAATTTTCAGAGAATATATAGACAAATTAAGGAGAATTTCCAACTAAGTTATTAGATTTGATTTGTTTAAATTTAAATCGAGATTGATGATTTCTGAATTGTGATTGCTGAATGGATAAGCTATTGATATACATATATAAAGTCCACCACTTCAAATGATTTCTAAATTAAGTTTTATTTAATACCCATAACAGATCCGCCTAGCTTTTCTGTCCGTGCAAATGGCATTCGCCAACTAAATAGGTTTATGACAGATGCGTTTCGGCTATTTTGTTGGTGGGTACACATGTATTTCAATCAACGCCAGAAGATCAGAAAATTGCAAAAATTCCTAAATAGTCGTCTGCTTGGCATTCTGGTCTGCTTCGTAATTTTCTTTAGCCCATAACCCATGCTGTTAACCCGCCCTGCCAGTCAGTCACCCCCTCATTTTCTCAACGTCTATGCGTGTGCTTAGTATAATTAATTTTCACATTCGCCGCGCACTTTTCGAAAATAAAAGAAAAAGAAATTATGTCTGGCCCAACAATGAGCGGCCAAATTAGGATGGCCGAGTGTTTTGGGTGCGGTGGAAAAATGCTACTTAGTAATGGCGGCTGCTGTACATAATTCTTTTCTCTGGCGTGCCAAGAAAAATTCAACGATTTTCCGAGCGCTCTCCTTTTACAAATAATGTTTTAATGTGTAATTTAGCATATTTTTCTGTTGTTTGTTTGCTTTGTGGTGTTGAAAAAATTATGATAATTGCCCCGGGGCGTGGAATGCGGAATATTGTAGATGGAAAAACAGGAAAGGAAACTCATAACTCACACGGACTTGATGCTGCTGAACTAAAATCTCTGTAATTATGCATCAACTAAAACCCTAAATCGAATGTAAACAAACTCAATATCTGGTAAATGTTGCAAAGTACCTGCAATTCCCCAAAAACCACCAACGGGAGGCCCCTCTGTCGATTCTTGCTGTGTAATGAAACACTTTGCTTTGTGCAAATTTACGCATTGCAATGCCATTAGTAATTAATAACAAAATCACTGCATTGCCTGTCATTTTGGATTATGCTCGCCCACATAAATACCCACGTTTGGCTACCTGAATTTTGAAATGTAAACTGAACCATTTGGCAAAGGTTTCAACTTTCTACTGCGAGGAATGTGCAGCCAGTCACTTGTTTAATCACTGAATTGCTTGAAATAAGCAATCGTGATATAACAACATTTATAAAAAAGCGAATATATTTATTCAATTAATATTAGGAATCAAACATTGAACAATTTTAAGCTTCAAGATAAATTTTTAATGACCCTTAAAACTGGCAGTCACAGTGAATGGCTAGCATCTCCTAATTGGCAGGCAGTTATCTTGGGATTTAGACATGCATACGTAGATTTGCTTTAAATTCGTAGCTTATTAATTAAGGCTCAAATCCAGACTATTGCCAAGCCGTGTCGTGGCAATAACAACAAAACAATGCCATTAACACCGGATATCCAATGGAGTTTCAATCCCCTCACAGCCGCATTGTTCTCCAACTTTCGGGGAGCGGATTGCATTTAGTGCTTCAAAGGAGCAGGAGGTGGAATTTATGCAACATCATTATTACACATGGTAAATGCAATCCAGAGACGCTGTGGATATTTGGCATGGAATGCCATAAATCTAAATTCACAATGCGAGTGCACGATAATCCGGATAGACCGTTGGCAATTAGTGCATCGAAATAATTCAGCTTAAATACGAGAAATTTCATTAGCAAAGTTTACTGACCCTAAAAGCCGAAGGAAACTCATTTGAAGCGATGTGTGAAATTAAAAAATTTAGCGATGAAAATTGCTATTGCAGAAATTGTCTGGCTCATCAGGGGATCAAAATGTAATTTCGTACTAGCACTTCTAGCGATTCCTGCTAAAATAAAAATCTTTTCTGCCACAAAACTGAAAGCCAAAGCGTGTGCATAGAATACCAAAGAACATAAATCAACAAAAATGCAGCGGAAAATAAAGCAAAGAACTAGAAGCAATTTAGTTGATGATTTTCGGTATTGCGTCGCTTTCGTATTTCGTTTATTTTTCTTATTTTTTTTTTTTTTGTATTTCTGGGTTTTATTTGATTTGCTTTGCGGTTTTAGAATTTTATGTCAGCTTGGGGTCCAAAGTGGACTAAAAGCAGCATAATTTATGCTTATTAGCTAAGCAAAAAACAGGTACTGGGATGAGTTTTTCGCTTTTAGTTTTCATCCAGCTTTGACAGAAGTTTTTGGCCAACTTCGCCCTCTTGACTTTTAATTGGCTTATTGTGTCGGATTGTCTAAAATGTTTTCACCCCCGCTTGTTTGATGGTGTGTTCTTTATTTTTGGCCTGCTTTGACCGCCCACTCAAGTTTTGCGGATTGCGTTATTTTAGCCAAGAACTGGCTGCTTCGGGACTGTGCATAAAGTGCTCATTAATTACTTACTGGCCGCTCAAAGTTAATTGTTCATATTTTATCAAAAGAAGGAGCTGTCAACTTCTGTTGACTTGCTAATTGCCAAGTGCTTAGTTGTGTGGCAGCCGTTCGAGAAAATAGCAAACAAATAGCAAGCGAAATTCAGCAACGCCCACCGAAAGCCGACGAAAGCGATCGCGATCGTTGTCTACGCTCCGGCGATCGCACATCCGAGTGCGATGGCGATGGCGATAGTGGGACTCAACTCGTCGGCCGCCGATCGACAGAGACAGGAAGAGCTATCTGAACAATCTGAAGACGGAGCCCCGCCCTCTGGTTATTTTGAAACAGTTTCGCTCGTCGCCAATCGAGGAAGATGCTGCCGGTTTTTTCATGTTTTCACAGCGTGCTTGAGTGCCCCGCCATTAAGTTTAAAATTTAATGCAAATTATATTACCAGTTTGCTAGAAGCTGACAAAAAGTAATAGTAAACGTACATTTTGAGAATGTTAATAAAAAGTTTTTTTTGTATAAATAATATTATCTCTGAAAATGACTTCTAAAATATTTTTGAGGTCAAAAACCCTTGTCTGTGGTGATAAGAAGAGCACTTGCGTAACAATTTAATTAATTTGTGGTACAGAATAATACTAATAGCAGCCAATTGTGTTTGTTGTTTTAAGCCAGGCACTCAGGCACACAATTTGACACATTGTGGTGACCAGTGTCCTAGTTTTGCTATCCACTTTACCCCACAAATGTGAAATATGAGGGTTGAGCAAATATAATAATTTATATATCAATTTTAATATATTTATTTATTAATTAGCGAAAGTATAAAAGCCGTTGTTTGCCTTGCTTAAAACAATTTAATTTCCATTTTAGTTTAAATCGTTGAAAGCCTATGTGGCGTATGCGTGATATT